CAACCTATCCTGTCCTGCTGAAAATGCTTTAGAGTTGGAAGGCGTCTCACTACCAGTGATTTCTGAATTGTGCTCTCTGAAATCCAGAGGTTCTACCAAGGAGCCCCAGGGCACCCCTGCTGCGAGGACTGAGGAGGACACAGGACGGCAGGGTGCTGAGCCCTCCCTCCGCCCACTTCAGCTAATGCAGCGCTGCTTTTCATTGTTTTAAACGCTAGGTTCCGGATGGCATTTCATGTGAAGAAAAGAGATCCCTGGAAAAAACAGGAAGATTGAAAAAAGAAAAGGAAAAAGAAAGGAAAGAAGGGAGGGAGGGATAAAGGGCAGAAGGAATAAAAGATTCCTTTTTGTTTCTTCTTTGTTTTTACAGATAAGAGTAGCAGAGACAAAATATTTGTCCTATATCTTTATGTGAGAAAATTTACACTGTCATTTAAATACTTTTCTGAATCCAGCCTAATTTCTTCTTTCCAATGACAGTTACATTTTGTGAATCTATTTAGGATGTTGAAAACCAGCTTCTAAATCAATGCAGATACAACTGTCACAGAGCTGTTACTCAGCCAACTATTAAAGACTTCTAAGTTTTTATTAGCCCTTTAATATCTTGCAGTTATTTGTGATCTTGTATTACATAAACGTTTCTGTGGAGCCTCATATAATATTAGCATTTTGCTATTAGCAATATTAGCATTTGTCCTCAGTCCCTTCTTCCACTGCCAAACACAGGATGAAAGATGATAGAGAATTCTACCTACTAAGAGTTTGAACTTGTGCCCAGAGCAATTAAAAAAATCATCTTTATTTAGATATAATTCACATACCATAAAATTCACACATTTAAAGCACACAATTCAGTGATTTAAAGATACTCACAGAGTTGTGTGACCATTACCACAACCTAAGTTTAGAACATTTTCATCACCCCGAAAAGAAACTCAGTACCCCTCATTAGCAGTCACTCCCCATGCCATCCTCCCCGCACCAGCCCTAGGCAATCATTAACCCACTTTCTGTCTCTATAGATTTGCCTCTTCTGAACATTTCATAGAATGGAATCATATAATATGTGGCCTAGCTTCTTTTACTTAGCATAATGTTTTCAAGGTTCATCCGTGTCCTAGCATACCAGTACTTAATTCCTCTTCCTGCCAAATAACATTCCATTGTGTGGATATACTACATTTTACTCATCTTTTCATCGGACACAGAGTAATTCTTAAAGCCACACGTTTCTAAATTCTTGAAGTCCAGGTAGCTGGGATTTACCCAAGATAATGGAGAGATAAAAGTGGCAAATCAAACACTGCATATAGGAAGCAATGAGTTATCCTTCCCCCTTAGTCAATGGACAGAAAATTACCTTACATGCTTACCTTATCTGGTACATTTTTGCTTAACATTAAAGGAAAGACTCGCTCGTGAAGCCAGAACTTGCGATCATTGTTATTACAGCCGTACAGGAAGATATTACTCTTACGGCTGTGGCCGTGGAAATCACAATACAAGAGAACCTCCCTTTCTTCAAGAAGTCTGTTGGGGGTGGGGGAGGCAAACAAAGAACTCAGTGGATATACAGGGCATGAGCATGATCAAGGATCCTTTGGAGTCTCTTCCTTAAAGATGTCTGTTGATACTTTCCCCCCTAAGAAAATTTCAGCCCCTAATGACCTTCAAAGGACCCTATGCCCAAACTCAGCCCCTGCTGGAAACATGTCACCAGCACTCCTTGCCTCTGCCAGCCAGAGGAACTTGATGGAAAAGGGGATGTGGAAAGGGGAGATGGGTAGGCCTTGCATAAGCTGACAAGAAAGAGGAGAAAATCTACTAAAGGAAAGCCCACTCTGGTGCAGAACTGTGGAAAGAGGGAGAGAGGCAGAGAGGGGAAAGAACCAAAGAAAGCCTTGGTTTCTGACATTCCAGGGCTAGTTCCTTTAAGACTCAGCTCTTCTTTGTTTCCTGATTACCAGGACACCTCCAAACACCTTCTCCATGATGATGATGGTGGTAACAATAATGCCCCACATTTACAATGTGCAGGGTACTGTGCTAAATAGATTACATGGATTATCTCATTGAATCCTCACAGTAACCACCCAGCACAGGTATTATTATCCCCATTCTACAGATAAGAAAGCTGAAGCGCAGAGAGGTTAAATCACTTCCATGGTCACAGAACCAGCCAGTAGTAAAACCAGGTCTCAAACCCAGGCCTGCCTGACTCCAATATATGCTCTTAGCCATTTTGCCTACCAACCCAACACAACTCTCAGCCATTCACACAGATAGGGTGAGAAGGTGCGTGCGTTCACATATTCATATCTGCTGCAGTTTCATGCCCAGTGAAATGGAAGCTCCTTTAAGGCGGGTGCTATTCTATCATAGGCTTCAACTGCTTTTATATATGCTTGGAAAATGCAGATTTATTTATTATTATTATTTTTTTTTAAATAAATTTATTTATTTATTTTTGGCTGCGTTGGGTCTTTGTTGCTGCACGCGGGCTTCTCTAGTTGTGGCGAGCGGGGGCTACTCTTTGTTGAGGTGATCAGCCTTCTCACTGCAGTGGCTTCTCTTGTTGTGAAGCACGGGCTCTAGGTGCATGGGCTTCAGTAGTTCTGGCCCACAGGCTCTAGAGCGCAGGATCAGTAGTTGTGCCCCACGGCATGTGGGATCTTCCCGGACCAGGGCTCGAACCCGTGTCCCCTGCATTGGCAGGCGGACTCCCAACCACTGAGCCACCAGGGAAGTCCCATTATTATTCATTCTTCGTAAGAGGCAATATAAGATGGTAATAAGGCATTCAGACTCTGCAACCAGAGAACTAGCTCTATGACTTTGGGCAAGTTTCTTAAACTTTCTGGGCCTTAATTTCCTCATCATATACAAGATGGGGATATTGACTGTGCCTACCTCACAGGGTGAATGTGAAGATTAAATGGGTCATGTGTAATACTGCCTGTCGTACATAAGCACTGACTAATTGTTAGGTACTACTATTATTATTACTGTTACACAAGTCTCATCATGAAGACCTATGAACTCCTTGACTTTTGACCTTTTCCATTCAATCATTTCACTTATAAGTGAAATGCTTCTAGCTGAAATCTCGCATGTTCAGTTTCAACCCAAAGATAAGACATGATTTAAAGTTTGAAAATGAACAAACCCAAGTGGCTGCAAAGAGAATGTTGAAGACTGTCCACAAAGCTATACCCGATTCCTATGCCATGAGAAGAGATCTCATGCCATCAGATAGTGCTGACAGCGTTCAGAGTAAGACCAATAGATAAAGGCCTCACCTCTTGATCATGTTCCTGGTGTGCCAGATGCAAGGGAAAGACTCCTTCAGAATAGTTTTATAATGCCTGTTCAAGTCCCTTCCAGCCAATGAACAACGATAATTCCCCACGATCACTCCGTCTGGATTTAACATGGGAATCACTTTGAAGATAAAGATATCTCTGAGGAGCTGGGCGTCTGGGGAGTTGCTAAGGATGAAGTCCAAAAAGCCTTTCATAATCCAGGAGCCATTACTTTCCCCAGGGTGCACTCTGGCAGTCAAGACCACAGCTTTCTTTGCAGCTGCCTCTTGAGGGGTCCGGGCTGGATTGGTGATGGTGAGCAGGTAGACGATGTTTCCTGCAAGGCTCCTGCATAAAGTTCGGAGTTTGCAGAACTGAGATTGGACGGGGCTGTTTGCCACTGACAGGAGGAAGCATTGCAAGTCAGTGTACGTATATGGGTAGAAGTGTGCAAAGAAGCAAGTGTCCTGGTCATGTGGAAACTGAATGGTCCATGTGAGACAGTAAAAGGGCTGCTGCCCATCATCCGTGTTGCTCCTATAGTACCTGATTTCATTTCCTTCTCTCCTCCAGCCAATGCTGTGGGTGCTGGCATCCAACTGGGAATACATGAGTGGCTTCATCCCTATAGTATAAAGGCTCTTGGGTTTCAGGAGGTTGACGATGGTGAAGCGATAGGTGACATCTTTTCTGGTGTTCTGAACTCGAAAATAAAACCACTGAGTGTGCTTATTCGTGTAGAGGTCAGTTCGCAAGGTGAGTTCATACTCATAGGTGTTTCTGTAATAGAGAACACAGAAGAATATCTCTATAACTCCACACGCCTCTCAAAAAACAAACATTGTTTCCCTCTGGTAAAAACATATCTTATTACAACAGAAAAGCCTGCTACATCACACATTTATTTTCTTATTTCCCTAGTTTTCTAATTCACATATTAGGCTAGCAGGAACTTGGGAAAAGAAAGTTTATTCGGAGTGGGACAGGAAGAATCTCAAAACTTACACTACTGCACAGCATTTCTGGGAGCACTGTGAGCTTCTTGGTGTCTTTTGAGAGTATCCAATAGCAGTTTCTAACCACTTCAACACATTTCTCTTTAACACACTGAACAGTAGTGAAGCCAGAGCCCCATGTTGGCTGTTAGCTACATCCTGGACATCATCACTGTAGAGGAAACCTGTAAGCCCTATGTGCTATTTTTATATCTGATCCTCACTTATTTGAAGATGAGGGGGCATCTCTGGAATGCTTTCACCTTGTTGAACTTGCAGAAGACAAAATACAAATGCCAAAAAGCATGGAAAGATATTCACCCACATGCATAATTAATGAAGTACAAATTAAAATAGGATGTCCTTTCCCCCTCCATCTCATCAACATTCCAGTGCTGGGAACCAGGCACTCTCACACACAGTTGATGGGGACTGAAATCACATTGGGAGGGCAAATGGGCAAAAACTAGCAGTACTGAAGTGATCAAACCCTGAACCAACAATTTTATTTCTAGAGTTTATCTCATAAAACCACAAATACTTAAAAATATAAATGCAGGGAATTCCCTGGTGGCCCAGTGGTTAGGACTCTGCGCTTCCACTGTAGGGGGCATGGATTCGATCCCTGAAATAGTGAAATAGTCGGGGAGCTAAGATCCCGCAAGCTGCACAGTGCGGCCAAAAAAAAAAAAAAAATGCATAAGGGTATTAATTCATTAAGCAAAATACTGTAGACATCTTAATTTCCCATCAGTTGGGGACAAGGCAAATAAGGTATGGAGTATCCATACAATAGGACAATATGAACATCTGTGATATGGCCATAGAAAAATATTTAAAATTTATTAAGTGGAAAAAAGCAACATGTAAAACAGTATGTATACCACTTTCCTATTTTTAAAAATACATAATTTGTGTATATTACATATTATAGAGAGAAAATTAATGCATATACACAAAACTATAAACAGTTGCTACATCCAGGAGGTATGATTATAGAACTGCAACTTTTATGTTATTTTTATTGAGACTGTAAAAACTTAATAACCAGAAACCCAATTAAATAGAGTTGGAAGACCAGAAGAGGGAGCTCTCATGCCCTGCAATGATAGCAGAGCCCAACAGGAAGAAAAAAAAGACTCCTTTTCCTTCCTGGCAAGGACTCAGCCAATGAAAAGTCACAGACCCTTTGTTTGCTGGAGCCCTCCCAACATCCTTCTCCTCTCAGTGAAAGTGTTCTCCCTCTCTTGTGGTGTGGGACTTGCATGTGGTGTCCCCCGTGGTTGCAGACCCTGAATTGCAGTTCTCTGCCAATCCTGAATAAACGCATCTTTGCTGGAGAAATATCTGACAGTCTGTTTATTTCAGGTCAACAATGCAAATTTCAAACGTGCACTAATTTCTTTTAGAAGTAGAAAAAATAATTTAGATAAATTTTCATTCTGAAAAGTATGAGTCACAATGATTCCATTCTTCTTCATCGCCCTCACAATTACCTCTCATCACTTTTCTCTTTCACAAAAACACTCCTGATCGCTAACATGATTCCTGAAGACACTTCTCAGTCACTTCAGTCATCATCCCCTTGGGAAATTCCTCTTTGTTACTCACACTCTAACAGCTTTCTGCAGGTTCCCACTCTCAAACCTTGATTCAAACAGTAGAGTATCATCTTCTGGTCCTTGCAACGTGACTGCCAGTTCCTTGATAATCCCTGGTTTGCCTCCCACTCTGGAACTGGTGAAATAGGAATCTTCGGTGGGCACTGAAGATGAGACAGACATACTCAGTCCAAGTTTCACTCAGAATCCATCTATCCAGCAAATATTAATTGAGCCCCTCTGTGTTCAGCACTATTCTAGGTTAAGAACAATGAGTATTTTAATTTTCAATTGTCCTTGCTGAGACTTTTAATTTTTAAAAATGTATATATTTGAAGACCTTTAAGTAGTTTAGAGGACTTCCTTTTGCTACGTGGTTACCCCTGGCAACTCAAATACTGCTTATACCCATTTAAACTCTAATTTAAAAGGATGTTGGCAAAAAATTACATTCTAAGTGGAGCACCGGAAAACATTTGGAATCTTATTCTACAAGAACAAACAAAAAGCCAAATAGCACCTATTTATTAATTTAAAAAGAAGATAAAGGGGGAAAAAAAGAGAGAAAATAAAGTACACTCCATGTCATTGTTTGGTATATCATTCCAGATTTAAATATAACAAAAATAGAAGCATGAGAAGAACTGGCACGAGTGCGATTTGTCTAAGAGGGGAAACAAAATATCATAGTAATTAGTGAAAAGAAAAGGTTATGATTGAAACTTTTTCTTTAACATTAAGCTAAAACAAAAAACATTACATAATTTATATTATTTTATTTAGGAAAATTTAGATTATAATCAAAACCGCTTTCTAATCCTTGGAATAACAAAGAATCAATTGTTAATTTTTTTTTTTTTTGGTGGGCTTACAATTTTTCAGACAAATTCAGGGAGAATGCCATGTGACACCTTTGATTTTTCGCAGTTACTTTTGCAAAACTCTTTTAGGCCCCCCGGTTCTCCCAAGGACTCTCTTTGTACCACACTGTTCTTATCAGTTGTGTCCAGAAGAATCTATTTTGTCATCTTTTGTTGATGTTCTCTTTAACTGATAACTGATAAAAAATTTCTAGATTCTCAGTTGTCAATGGCTTTGCAGTGGTGCAAGCAATTCTTTAACATTCATCAACTTCATACAATTCTGCATCTCTTGTAAGGATAATTTCACTATTAAAAATATTTATTTATTTATTTGGTTGCACTGGGTCTTAGTTGTGGCAGGCGGATTCCTTAGTTGCAGCTTGTGGGCTCCTTAGTTGTGGCTCACTGGCTCCATAGTTGAGGCACGCAGGCTCCTTAGTTGTGGCATGTGAACTCTCAGCTGCGGCATGCATGTGGGATCTAGTTCCCTGACCAGGGATCGAACTCAGCCCCCCTGCATTGGGAGCACAGAGTCTTAACTACTATGCCACCAGGGAAGTCCCAGGATAATTTCAGTTTGCAATTAATTTTTTACTGTACTTGCATTATGTTGTCAGATGTTAACAATATCCACCATCAACAAGTGACTGCAAAGATGCTGACCATCGGGCAGGATAGATACGAGAATTAAACAAACAGAAACATGTATGGGGTCTGATTTTATAAGTAGTCAGTTCATTAGTAAGTATATTCACATTATGATGACTTTTGCTTCTATACGCAACCTTGCCACTGTGGAGACTTAGAGAATAAATATTTGGATAATAAATGAAAGCAAAGGAGAAAGCGAGCATAAAAAGGAGTGAAAGCACAGAGGAAGTAAAAACAGAAGCAGCAGCAGGAGTACAAGTAAATCCATTTAAGAGTTGGGGACCCATGTTATTCGATCTCTTCATGGTACCACAATCAAAGTACGGATCGGCAACCAGATGTCATTAATATAGGAATTTCAATATTTTCTTTAGTCTTTAAGGTAACTTAAAAACAATCCAGGGGCTTCCCTGATGGTGCAGTGGTTGGGAATCCACCTGCCAATGCAGGGGATACGGGTTCGAGCCCTGGTCCGGGAGGATCCCGCATGCCGTGGAGCAACTAAGCCCATGCGCCACATCTACTGAGCCCGCGAGCCACAGCGACTGAAGCCTGCATGTCTGGGGCTTGTGCTCCGCAATGGGAGAGGCCGCCGCAATGAGAAGCCTGCGCACCGCAACAAAGAGTAGCCTCTGCTTGCCGCAACTAGAGAAAGCCCGCGCACAGCAACGAACACCCAACACAGCCAAAAGTAAAGAAAATAATTTAAAAAAACAAAACAAAACAAAAAAAAGATCCAACTCATAGCCCACAGTAACATTTTTCAGTAACAAAACCTCTTTCTTATCTTCCCCTCAATATCCTTATAGCAAGTGGTTGCTCTAGGTCTCCTAAGCTAACAAACTCCCAGATTCTCCCCGGAGCCCCATCTTCTCAGTTTTCTGTTTCTTCATTCCTCCAACAGTGTGGGCTCAACTCTCCTTGATGAATCCAAAGGACAAGAAGATCAAGACAGCTGCCACAAATGTGTAGTAAGAGGACAATAAGGACAATTCACAAAAGCTGCCATATCAGGAGAACGAGCTCTCAACCCCAGGGTTTCCTCCTTTGTAGAAATATGTCTGGATAGAACAGATGAAGCAGTGGCGATTCACGGTCATCTGGTTCACTGAAAATGACTACAGCAAAGTCAACGAGAGGTGAAACAGGCTTATAATATTCAAGAATTTCTTGAGGTTGCAGGAGCAGTACATCCCCTACTATTTATAACCCAAGTCTACTGACTTATGATCTGAGTTTAAAGTCTCCCAAGCTCCTCCTCAGACATTCCATAAGGTGGAGCTAGGTGGACTATGAGTTACTTCACCTTTTCTACCTCACCAGCTTTTGCCAAAATAGTAACGAGAGCTCAAAATCAAGGCAACTGGGAGCGGAGCTTGTGTAACCACATCTCAGATGGGTCCTCTCTGCTAAAATTGGCTCATTTTATTTTTCTAGTTGTAGGAATGTAAACACATTGCAGTCCCTCCTTCCTATTACTGTTTTTTTCTGTAAAAACTTCCCATGATTTCACTGACTTAACACATCCCATTTCTACTAATTACACTTGGTACATGTTCCTCCTCCAATAAAATAGATTTTTTTTTTTTTTTTTTGCAAAGAAAATGTTTTATTTAAAGTGTTAAATACCATCACGAGAATGAATTTGAGTTTTACATTAGTTGGTGTTCATTACAGGACTAATCTGCCCTTTTTTTTTTCCAAGTGGAATTCCCTTTACTTTTAAAACATACTATATACAGGGCAGCAATGGTCACTGGAATAGTGTTATTTACATGACTAGACCACAAGTCGAGGTGCTTTTCTGATCATTACTATCTATTAGCTTACTTCTCTTTAACATGATATATCTTTTCTGCCTTAAAGGGTACTATTACCATCTGTTTCACATCCTCCCCAGCACTTGTTATTGTCTGTATTGCTGTTATAGCTATTTTAGTGGATTTGAAGTTGATTCATCCTTTCCATAAATATCCTTTGTTAAATGGAGGAAATCCTCTCTTATTTCTAGTTTTCAGAATGTTCTTATGATGAAAGGCCTGATTTTGTCAAATGCTTTTTCTGCTTTGATTGAGATGACTGTGTGTTTTTTTTCCCTTTGTTCTATTAATGTGGTGTGTCTCATCAATTTTCTTATGTTGAACCTCCCTTGGATTCCTGGAACAACTCTCCCTTGGTCATGGTATATAATCCTTTCCATATGCTGTTGAATTTGGTTTGCTGGTATTTGGTTGAGGATTTTTGCATTTATGTTCATGAGGAACACCAATCTATAGTCTTCTTGTGATGTCTTTGTCTGGCTTTGAATACTGGCTTCATAAGCAGAGCTGGGAAATGTTTCCTCCTCCTCTGTTTTCAAAGTTTTGAAGCATTAGTGCTATTTCATCTTTAAATGTTTGGTACAATTCAAACAAATCCTGTTAAGCCATCTGGCCCAGGGATTTCTTAGCAGGAAGATTTTAAATTACTAATTCAATTTCTTTGTCATAATCTGAATTATTCAGACTTTTTATTTCTTCCTGAATCAGTTTTGATAAGTTTTTCTAGCAATTTCTCCTGTTCATCTAGGTTGTTTAATCTGCTGACATAAAGTTGTTAATAGCATTACCTTGTAATTGTTTTGATTTCTGTAGAGTTGCTGCTTGTGTCCCCTTGCATTCCTGATTTCTATAATTTGTGTCTCCTCTCCTTTTTTCTTGGTTGATCTGGCTAAAGTTCTGTCAATTTTGTTAATGTTTCCAAAGGACCAACTTTTGGTTTGATTTTCTGTATTACTTTTCTATTTCACTGAATTTTTTTTTTTTGCAGCACGCGGGCCTCTCACTGCTGTGGCCTTTCCCGTTGCAGAGCACAGGCTCCGGACACGCAGGCTCAGCAGCCATGGCCCACGGGCCCAGCCACTCCGCGGCACGTGGTATCCTCCGGGACTGGGGCACGAACCCGTGTCCCCTGCATCGGCAGGTGGACTCTCAACCACTGTGCCACTAGGGAAGCCCTGACTTCTGTTTTTATCTTTATTATTTCCTTCCTTCTGCTCACTTTTGATGTAGTTTGCTCTTATTTTTCTAATTTATTAAGGTGGAAGCTTATGTAATTGATTTGAGATCTTTCTTCCTTTTAAATACAGGCATTTAAAGCCATAAATTTACCTTGCAGTGCTTTGGCTACATCTCATAAATTTTGATATGTTGTTTTATTTTCACTCAGTTCAAAATATTTTTGAACTCTTCTTATGATTTCTTTAACCCATGGGTTACTTAGAAATGTGTTGTTCAATTTGCAAATATTTGTAGATTTCCCAGATTTCATTCTGTTGTTGATTTCTAATTTAATTTTGCTGTGATCAGACAATATATTTTGTATGACTTCAATCCTTTTAAATGTATTAAGACTCGCTTTACAACCTAGTATATGGTATATCCTGGGGAATTTACCATGTGCCCTTGAAAAGAATGTGTATTTTGTTGTTGGGTACAGTGTCCTGCACATTTTTATAAAAGACAGGAATTCTACCACTAGGGTGCCTGCAAATTAATGCAGGAAACCACAGAGTAAATGACAGTCATATGCACATACTACAAAATACTCACTACGGTTCAGGAGGTGGAGAAAAGAAGAGCAAATTCCCCAAAGATCCAACATCTGATTTTCAGGAAGGGGAATAACAAGGAAGAAGCTATAAAATGGACTCAGAACTATTAAGAAAATATAATAACATTTTAAAAAAATGATTGAAAATTTAAAACTGATTGGTCATGAATTTCAGGGCTCCCACTCAGGTTGGTCTGGAAAAGACAGTTTCTTTATCACTAAAATATGACTTTTTGAAAATCACTTTTATTATAGAAAATATGTTTAGTGTAATTTGGTCATGATTAATCACTCACTGTTCAGCGTGATGACAATACCTGAATCTAACTGATAGACAACTGTGCCTTTTTCTTCTCCTACAATTTCTGGTGCCTTTTCATTTCCTGTAGGTTGAAAGAAATATTCTGGTTGAGGTGGAACCCACTCTGAAAGAAGACATTAAAAAGTACAAAATAAGAAATAATACAAAAAAAAAAGAAATAATACAAAAGGCACTTTATTAAAACTGACATGAAATCATAATAATGATTATTCAAATGGCTAGTATGGTTGAATCAAACCAAATTCCCACCCTAAGTTTCCAGTGTGTTTGTAAATTAATTATGTCTTGCTTCTTTCTATAAAGACTATGGAGAAATTTTTAACAAAAAGCATATACAACAGAAGTATCAACTTTATTTTTTTAGATTTTTTTGATGTGGACCATTTTAAAAGTCTTTATTGAATTTGTTACAATATTGCTTCTGTTTTATGTTTTTTGGGTTTTTTTGCCACTAGGCATGTGGGATATTAGCTCTCCGACCAGGGATTGAATCCACACCCCCAGTATTGGAAGGTGAAGTCTTAACCACTGGACCGCCAGGGAAGTCCCAGAAGTATAAACTTTAAATAGAAGACCTAAAAATAAGGCAGAAAGGTCAATATAGTTGTTCCATCAACTCTTCAAAATTTGTCTCTGAGCTCCCAGTCAGGAAAATATGCTCAGCTACATATTTTTTATTAATATAGAGGAATAAGTATATCAGTTTCTTCAGAGGAAACAAGGTTTTTTCATTAACACTCAATTCTGAAAGATTTCTCATATGACACTTGGGTGACTTCTCAATATCATTTTAAGTACAGTAGCCACTGATGAAAGCCAAGGGCATATATAAAGACACAACTTAAATTCAACAGTACATCAAAAGAATCATACACCATGATCAGTGGGATTTACTCCAGGGATGCAAGGATGGTTCAACGTTTGCAAATCAGTCAATGTGATACATCACATTAACAAAAGGAAGGATAAAAATCATATGATTATTTCCATACATGAAGAAAAAGCATCTGACAAAATTCAACATCCATTTATGACAAAAACTCTCAACAAAATGGGTATAGAGGGACTACCTCAACATAATAAAAGCCACATATGTCAAGCCCACAGCTAACACCATACTCAACGGTGAAAAGCTGAAAGCTTTTCCTCTAAGATCAGGAACACGACAAGGATGCCTACTCCCACCACTTTATTCAACATAGTACTGGAAGTCCTAGCCAGAGCAATTAGGCAAGAAAAAGAAATAAAAGGTATTCAAATTGGAAAGGAAGAACTAAAACTGCCACTGACATATATGATATACAGAAAACCCTAAAGACTCTATCAAAAAACTGTTGGACCTAATAACAAATTCAGTAAAGTTGCAAAATACAAAATCAATACACAAAAATTGGTGCATTTCTATACACTAATAATGAACTCTCAGAGAGAAATTAAGAAAACATTCCCATTTACCACTGCATCAAAAAGAGTAAAACACCTAGGAATAAATTTAAACAAGAACTATAAGACATTAATGAATGATACTGAAGAAGACACAAATAAATGGAAAGATACTCTGTGCTCAAGGTTGGAAGAACCAATATTATTAAAATGTCCATACTACCCAAAGCAATTTACAGATTCAATGCAGTCCCTATCAAAATTCCAGTGGCATTTTTCACAAAAGTAAAACAAACAATCCCAAATTTTATATGGAACCATTAAAGATCCCCAATAGCCAAAGCAACCTTGACAAAGAAGAACAAAGTTAGAGTCACCATGCTCCCTGATTTCAAACTCTATTACAAAGCTATAGTTATTAAAACAATATGATATCTGCATAAAAAGATACATAGATCAATGAAACAGAACAGAGAGCCCAGGGAATTCCCTGGTGGTCCAGTGGTTAGGATTCTGTGCTTCCACTGCAGGGGGCACTGATTTGATCCCTGGTCAGGGAACTAAGATCCTGCATGCCATGTGGCGTGGCAAAAAAAGAAAGAAAGAAAGAAAGAATAGAGAACCCAGAAATAAACCCATGCATCTATGGTCAATTAATTTATGACAAAGAAGGCAAGAATATACAATGGGGAAAGGACAGTCTCGTCAATAAATGGTGTTGGGAAAACTGGACAGCCATATGCAAAAGAATAAACTGGGCCTCTATCTTATACCACACACAAAAATTAATTCAAAATGAATTAACGACTTGCATGTAAGACCTGAAACCATAATACTCCTAGAAGAAAACACAGGCAGTAAGCTCCTTGACACAGGTCTTGGTGATGAGTTTTTGAATCTGACTACAAAAGCAAAAGCAATAAAAGTGTAAAAAAGTGGAACTAAATCAAACTAAAAAGCTTCTGCACAGCAAAGTAAACCATCAGCAAAATGAAAAGGCAACCCTTTATTTTTTTAATTTGGCCATACCACATGGCATGCAGGATCCTAGTTCCCCAACTAGGCATCGAACCCAGGCCCTGGCAGTGAAAGTGCAGAGTCCTAACCACTGGACCACCAGGAAATTCCCAAAAGGCAACTTTCTGAATGAGAGAAAATATTTGTAAATCATATATCTGATAAGGGGCTAACATCCAAAATATATAAAGAACTCATACAACTTAACAGCAAAAAAAAGATCCAATTGGAAAATGGGGGCTTCCCTGGTGGCCCAGTGGTTAAGAATCTGCCTGCCAATGCAGGGGACACAGGTTTGAGCCCTGGTCCAGGAAGATCCCACACGCTGTGGAGCAACTAAGCCTGTGCGTCACAACTACTGAGCCCGCACTCCAGAGCCTATGAGCCACAACTACTGAGCCTGCGTGCCTAGAGCCTGTGCTCCGCAACAAAAGAAGTCACTGCAATGAGAAGCCCGCACACCACAACAAAGAGTAGCCCCCTGCTCACCGCAACTCGAGAAAGCCCACACACAGCAATGAAGCCCCAATGCAGCCAAACAAACAAAGAAACAAACAAAAAACCCAAAAAACCCCACTTCTACAGGGTAGGAACAGATGACCTTAAGACTGCTCAGCTATTATGCCAACTCAAAATGTGCCCCCTAACAATTTCCAAACACCCTAAGGGCAGTTCTGTCCCCAGTTAAGACACTGAGCCAATCCTTGTACCTTCAGCTTCATCTCTTTTCTTTCATGTTGAAGGCTCCATGGTTACCCAAACATGTCTTGTTCTTTTTCTGTTTCCTCTAACTGGAGTACTTTGCTTTGATCCTTTCAATTGGATCACTTCTAACTCATCCTTCAGATTTCAGCTTCCATGTCAACTTCTCTTGGAAACCCTCACTGAACTTCCAGGTTGGGGTTAAGTGTTCCCAGAGGGACCAAATGCTATGCAATTGCCTGGTTCTATCTTTAACTTCCTCACTAGTCTGTGAGCTCTGAGTGTCTCCATTTGCTCATCACTATATCTCTAACACCAAACACTATACTTAGCATATGGTAGATGCTTAATGAATATACAATGAATGAATATTATAAGAGAAAAGTGAGAAAATAAGAAACACCCAGTTGTTTATCAGCAGTCTTAAGCAGAGACATGAGTGTTCGAGCAATCATAAAAGTCCCCACTTCTGAAAATCCTTCATAAAATGAATGCTAAAGATTGCACTTGCATCAAAAACTCAAAGATATGGCCAACTATGTCATAAAAAAAAGTCTCCACCATTCCCACAAAAAACTCCAATCAACTCAAAATATGATTAAAAAATAGTAGGGCTGGGCTTCCCTGGTGGTGCAGTGGTTGCGAGTCCGCCTGCCAATGCAGGGGACATGGGTTTGTGCCCCAGTCCGAGAGGATCCCACGTGCTGCGGAGCGGCTGGGCCCGTGAGCTGTGGCTGCTGGGCCTGCGCCGCAGCGTGAGGGGCCGCAGCAGTGGGAGGCCCGCAAAAAAAAAAAAAGAAATAGTAGGGCTTCCCTGGTGGGGCAGTGGTTGAGAGTCCACCTGCTGACACAGGGGACATGGGTTTGTGCCCCGGTCCGGGAAGATCCCACATGCTGCGGAGTGTCTGGGCCCGTGAGCCATGGCCACTGAGCCTGCACATCTGGAGCCTGTGCCCTGCAACAGGAGAGGCCACAACAGTGAGAGGCCCGCGTACGGCAAAAAAAAAAAATCTTTACAAACAAGAATAATCTA